AGTTTCTGTGGTAACAGCGTTCCGATGGTGACCAGAATCTGGTGAGTTCACACTTGATACCACTCACAAAGCCCAAACTGCGCCGCCAGTTCGGTCAGTGCTGGCTGGGTCTGGTAGCCGATCCAGGTCCAACCAGTCTAACCTGTCAACCCCCATGGCAGGAGAAGGTTTCGTGTGACGGAGAGCTCGGCGAAGCCCGTCGACGTCGATAGCGGGGGGGGGGTCGTCCTGGACCAGACGCCGAATTTCACCAAAGATTTCCTGGATGTCCTGCCAGACGCAGGCCTCGGTGGGCCCCCGGAGCTCTTCCCACTGCTGAGTTTTGCGGTCCAGAACGCCCCGTGGACGAAACAGAGTTCGACTCCCTGCGTCGACCCGCTGCTGAGAGACGGGTGCTTCACGTAGAGACTGATGCAGAGCGCCAACCGTTGGGGCAGTCCCGGGCCAGTCGCGAAAGTTGAGAGTAGATTGATGCACCGCCCGCTGCTGGGCCCTCTTCGCGAGCTCCTCGCTGAGGGCGGCCGCGTCCGCGAGCTGCTGGGTGGACAGAGACCCTTGCAGCAGCTGGTGCAGAAGGCTTCTCCACTGACCCCAGGTGAAGGGGCCCCGCTTGCGCGCTGTCCGATGAGCGTCCTCAGGATGCTGCTGCAGCAACTCCCTCAGGGTCTGACGGTAGCGCTGCTGCTGCTGCTGCTGCCCGTTGTTCGCTGTGACGCGGCGCTGTAACCCTCTCACAACCGTCCCAACGCTAGCCCGCCAGCCGGCGACGCGATCACGAAGATGAGCCTGCCTCGCTGGTGCAGTCTGCTTGGCGACTCCAAGCGTGCATTGCGCTGACACACCGCGAATCAGTTTTGATACGATGGGGGTTCCTGCTGATGATGCGCGTAGATCGCTGCTTCCACAGACTGAACACAGCCACAACAAAGCGCGGGAATGGATGACGGAGCTTGGACCTCAGCACCGATCCGAAAAGCTACGGACTGAGACGCAGTGGGCCCAGGCTCGCAAGCCGTCTTCGGGACGAACCCGATCTTTCCTCGCAGACATCCAAACGGAGACAGGCACAGATAATGGCCCGAGACGCTCGGAGCTCACCGCCTGGGACGACAGATCCTGGGCCTTATTCGTTTGAAACTCAGTGCTGGGGTTTGGCTGCTCTCGCTCTGTCTCTTGAAATGGGGTCGGGGGGTTCCGAATTACAACTGACTAACTGTAGAGAGGGTCCCTTCCTTTCCCCCGGCGCGGGCGGCACGGGCCAGTTAGCCTCGTCGGCCCGCGGGCCGGCCTCGGAGATGTCGTCCCAGCCGCGGTCGAGGACGCAGCTGGAGGAGTCTGAGGCGAAATTTTCGTCGCCTGTCTCCTTCTGGCTGTCCGCCCCGTCCTGCTCACTGCTGGCAAGACTCTTTCCAAACTGATATTGAATCTTAGAGTTGCGTTTCTCACTAGCTAAAGCGGCAGCTGCAACACGCTTCGCTTTGAAAGCCTGCGACGTGGAGCCAGCTGCGGGGTCGCGCGCAGGAGGGGAGACCTGAGGGAGCTTCGCTAGGAGCTCAAGAAACTTCTTGAAACGTTGCCCCGAAGAGCCAACCAACTCAAGCTCGAGCCCGAGATGGGGCCCCCAAGGGACGTCAATGATTGCCTGCAAAGTGCGAATGTAATGGCGGGCGGCTGGGCACAGGACTACGCAGTCAAGATGGGACCCCCCCCGCGGCCCCCTTATGACGGCAGGTGAACTCAGCGGGGCTGCACAAGATCCCCCTTCCGACGCGCTCGAAGAATCCCGTGCGAGCGAGCGACGTGGGGCACGTGTTCCAATCGCCGACCACCAGCCAGGAAATGCGAGTGACGGCGGGAAGACTAGCAAGCTTCCGAAAACGGGGCACGTTCCGACCACGGAAGCCCATGGACGAATGGCCATAGAATATGATGGCTGCAAGAGAACAGCCTTTTAAAGTGCAAGACGAGTGGCAAGAACCCGTCAAATCCAGAGCTGGCGTCAGCGCGAAGGCCCCGAGCCGCGACCGCAGCGTCCAGCATCTGCACGGGCAGGTGGCTCTTGCAGAACAGCGCCTCTCCTCCTTCGCTCGAGGTCTCGCAACCCCGATTGCGCCGCTTGGCTTTCCCTCTCGTTGCGTCCACGTACGACTTCAGGGAGTAGGACTGCGCCTCCATCTGCCACTTGCGACCCTGGTGGTGCATCACACGACCCTCACATAGTGCGAAGTAGTCTAACCGATCCCTGATGATCTGAAAATGGTCCATCACCTTGGCACTGAGACGGGTGGCGCTGCTGAAGAAGAGCCTGGACGAGGTCGCCTGCTCCTCCACGCTGGGTGTGTTGGTGGCATCGGCATCCCCAGAGGCGGATGTCCGCGTCGTGCAAGTACTGGTACTTGCTGAACCCAAAGATGGCGTTGTAGCAGTACTGGTACTGCTCACTTCTGGAGCTGTGTAGTTGACGCACAGCTCGTGTCCGTTGAGGTCCCTGACCAAGAAGCGGCCGAGCTCTCGCGAGCAGCACCGTCAGCAGGAGGCGTGCCCTTGCCCTGCCCCTTGGGTGTGCCCTGCGCCGAGTCGGCGGACCCGCTGCCAGCTTGGTGGGCCGCCGCGGCGTTGGCCTGCGACAGGCGGGCGGCCTCCTTCTTGAGCTGTTCCTCAGTGGCGGGACAGCGGCGCCCGCGGCTGGCGAGCTCTCGGCGTTGGCCGCCTGCGCCGCTGGTGGGGGGTTGCCTCGCTGGCCGCTGTCGCCTGGCCGTCGGCGCCCTTGCGCTTCTTGGCCATGCGGGCCTTGACCTCCTGGGCCTTCTTGGCCCTGTCAACGAACTGCTTCCACTCGTCATCATTTTGCTTGAAGGTCGAACGATAGTTGTCGAGCTCCTCTTTGAGCTTCCTGAGGCTGGCCTTGTCGGCCTCCTCGCAATCCCAAGTCTCGAAAGCGGCGAAGACCTCGTCGTTCAGCTTCACGCCGAAGACGGCGGGCTCCTCCGAAGCTTCGGCGGCGGGCTTCTGCTCCTGAAAGCCCTCGGCCCTCGCAAGGGCGGCTGTGGCGGCGCGGCGAGCGGCGTCGGCGCGTGCCAAGTCGAGCGCCGCCGCCTGCCCCTTGCTCTGCGCCACGCCGAGCTGCTTCTGGAGCCGAACCACCTGCTGCACTAGCTGATCGTGCCTATTTCTTGGCCGACTTGAAGGCGCCGTCGGCCCGCTTCACTTGGTCGACGCTCGAGGTGCCAGCAGGCTTCTGCGCCTCGAGCCTCGCCTTCTGGGCCCTGAGCACCGCCTGGAGCTCGGGGCCGTCGTCGCTCTGCGCCAGGGCCCGCGCGATGAGCGACGAGATCTCCTGCTTGCCGCTACCGCCCTGCTGCTGACGGCTCTGGCCTCCACTCGTGCCCTGGCCGCCGTTGCCAAAAGTGTCGAAGCGAACGCTCTTGCCGCTGTCGACGCTGGTCGAGCGGGAGGGAGGCTTGTACAAAGGCACCTTCCTGGTGCACCCACGGCAACGACAGTCAACAAGCAGGAGCTGGTCGTTGTACTCACATGTCTGAGAGTAGCTGCACTTGGACCAGGCGCGCGGGCCGCGAGCTGCCGCAGCGCGTGCCTTGCCCATCCTCTGAGGAAGGAAGAAGTGTAGAAGTAGATCCCAGCTTTCGTTATCGGAAGCGAGTGTCGGAAAATCAGAAGGCCTCCGATATCCTTCAAGCACCCCGCGGAGGTACTGGGATTGGCTCAGAAGTGGGCCGTGTCCCCAGACAGCCTGGCCCCCTGTGGGCCGAATCAGCTCAGGCCAAATGGCTTGAGGGAGGAGGAGGAGGAGGAAGAGGAGGAGGGATA